TGTTTGTGGTTGTAATGTGACAAAATATGGAAAAGTTCAAGGGGTATGAATACTTTTGCAAACCACTGTACATTGGTTAAATTAAAATAAATTGGCTATTAATTTTGTTGCATAACACTACAATATTAATATGAAGTTAATTGAAGTTTTGAGACATTTTAAAATGCTTTTTTTTCCGAAACGCATCTGACGCTTGTTGAAACCTATGTAACACAGTTATTTACACTAAAATTAAAAATATTTAACCAAAAAGAAAAAAACCAGAGCAGGATTACAGAGAGACATAAATATGATTTAGATTTTTATTTCTGTGACTGTACGACCCACAGAAGACACGACATTAACAGCAGTCGTCATTTCATTCCTCTGCTTTAATTCCAAGCTGACGCTGCTAAAAATTACCCGTACTCTTTTTTTTTTTTTTTTTTTTTTTTTTGTGGATCTCCGAGAGCAGAACTTCAATCTCCGAATTCGTAAAGTTCTTCTTTTTACTTTGCAATGTCACTTATGAATGGGCACTTCCTGGTATGTGGGGCAGGAAACATAGCCTTATATGGTGTTTTTGGGTGGTAATTATGTAAATAACCTCTCTGCGTGCACGAGCAGCTGGATACGAACAGGTGGAATTTACGCAGCTCATTTACGCACTTCTCCTGAAGATAGAAGAGTTTGTTGAATCTGACGTGACGTTTGTACGAACAAAAGTAAGAGAAATTTAGGAAAAAAATACGAACATGTTCTTGCATGAGGCCCATTGTTCTGTTTTAAACTCTATATAGACAGTCAATAAATCATATTTTTCTACCACCAATACTTCCTCTTTTAAGTTGCCCCACAAGACGAGTCAGTCCGGTTAGGGCAAATTCCACCCAAATTCCACCCACTCCAAAACCTCCACCAATCACAGTTAACTCCGCCTACAGAACAACAAGTACTGCAGAGACCCCTACTTGGTTCACTCTGACAGCTCAGTCAAACGTTGTCTTTAGTCATAAATTCATTTGATGTTTAAGTTTTRTTATTGAGAGAACTCAAAACACATTTTATTCACGTGCACCTTTCCAAACTCTGAAGGACATCTTACACACAAAAACAGACAAATGTTAAAATAAGGGAGTGCTGTAATTAAAACAGGTTATACTACAATCAGAAGAAGCTAAGGCTATGGTAATAGCAATCATACTCCTGCAGGAGCAAGCAACTGAAAAGAAAAAGAAGAAATTTATTAGTGAAGCTGACTTGTTGGTTGTTTTAGGGTGTGTTCACACCTGACACATTTGGTCCACTTTAAACAGACCAGAGTTTGTTTCCCCTCTGTTGTCCAGACCTTTTATGCAGGTGAAACCCTGGTGCGGACAAAAAAAAACTGGTCCGAGACCCAGTTTTGAGGTGGTTTAGATCCACTAAACAAACTGGTGTGAATACAGACCAGCCTTGAACTGTGCCAACTACAGGAAAAATATGCCTTTTTGGACTTCACAAGTGTCATTGTAACAATTAGCCCTTCAGTGTTGCTAATGCTAACACTATGCTACAAACAATGAGCTGTTGTGGATCAGGAAACGCGGAACATCTCATCTCCTTTAGGTTGTGGCACACATTTGCCAACAACGTCCCAAAATTATAAGTATATCATCGCAAAACCCCCATTGATTGAGATGCTCTTGATATTCTTGATATTCTTCATAGTCAGCTGTATTAACACCATTTTTATTTCTGGGTCTGTACTCTGTCCTGCCCCCATCATTTCTGTCCAATGGGAGCGATGACCCTCACCTGTGTGGCTTTGTTTATAAATTATAGTGCACTTGCACAAAGCACAATGTGAATACAAACCACACCAAAAGAAAAAAGTTAAGTCTGTTATTAGGTCCGGACCAAACAAGTGGACCAAAGGACCTTTCTGATGTGAATACAGCCTTCGATTAACATTCGATGAATCTTTTCTTGAAGCTTTCATTAAACCACTGGTAGTTTTAAAGTTTTAAGTAAAAATCTTGCATGTTGTCTAACACTTAGTATGTACTGTGAATAACTTACAACCAAGACAAATTTGGTCACGTCTGTAAAATAACCAAACAATGCTTTGGAACAAACATTTCTTAGGAGATATGATGTAGAGTAGTAGTAGTAGTAGTAGTAGTAGTAGTAGTAGTAAATGTAATAAGATATATCTAACTAAAGAACTTTGAAGGAAAAAAATAGTAATGAAAATAAAAAAAGCAACAGTATGTGAAACGTTTAATCTTGTGCTACATTGGAAATAAAAACACAATTTCTCGATATGTTCATATTGTTCATTTTGAATTTGAAACAAGTGACACAGATCAAAAACGAGGTGGAATCAACAAAATAGCAGGAAAGTATTGCTTAAATAAAAATGAACACTTGGTTTAACAGACATTAATACATTATTAGCAATAATCAACAAGTTTTGTTGTGGATTTTTGACACATCTTAGGYCATGCTGCCAGGCAGTTGGATTATTTCCTGTTGATTAAAATGATTATTTCTATAAAAACCTCGTCACACTATAACATTTTAGACAGTTCAAGCTGGGTTGTGAAAATTTCATCATTATTAAATTATTCATGTACATTATACAGTTGAACTAATCGTTAACATTAAAGATGTATAAATCCAAAAGAGGCTTCCTGTAGATTTTCTGATTTCTAAATAACAAGAAATAAAAAAACRCAAATCCGACAAATTCTTGTTTCTTTTGTTGAGCTGTCGTAAATGAACAAACCCGATGTTTAAGGTGACATCCGAAGTTAAACAACACAGTCAGCTGTTGCTGCACTGTGATGATCTGTGTAAAAAGTGTTTATGTGAGGGGTCCGATAAAGTACACACTCACTTCAAACTGAGCCAAATCTAAAATTAGACAAACCGTAAAATCTCCGTCAATGTCCAGTCCTCACTGCTGTGTTGTTGACTTTTATAATTACTTTTCTGTTTAAACCATCAAAAATGATTCATAAAAGCAACAATCGATAAATCTGACTGAAGCGTCTTCTAACTGTGTTGATGTGTTTTCATGGGAGGAAAAACTGTTTACTTGTCGATAAGGCAAACATTGTAAATGTCCTCTCTGTGACCCATTTTTCCATCACTCAGCAGCGTCCATGACGTCTCAGCAGCTTAATGTTTAACGCTGCTTCTTGTGAGTGAGGCCTAATGAGCTGCAACAGGAAACCAATGTTGGTTTAACAGCCAGGAATTATTCAAAACTTCATTTCCTCTTGAATATTTCTTGAAAAAAATATTCCCATTATTATATCAAATAGCTCAAACATTTGTCTGCTGTTGCTCCTTAAATTATTGTGGCTGCATTGATTCCAGCGACGATTTAATAACACAAAAAGAGGGTCAAAGTTGAGAACTGGCAGAAAAAGTAATGAAATAATGTGGGAAAGAAGCACATCTGATCAGTTGTGTTTATAAGATGGTGTTTATTGTTCATTTGCAATGGCTGTATTACATCTGGTGTAAGCTATGYCAGGTGGTGTTATTTGTTACTGTTGAAGTCAATATCTGACTTTTAAAGGGGACATATCATGCAAAATCCACTTTTTTAGCYGTTATTTTGTTTTGGAGTCTCTGGAAAAAAGTTKAATTTAGTCTCTGCTGGTGCTGCAAAGATGTCTTTATATTCTGTTTGGGTCATATTTTTCTCTATTTTCTATTACGTTGACTAAACKGTTACRTCAAATTATCTGTGACAGAATTACCAAATAAGGTCTGGACTTACMAACTACAATTTCCTCCTTAATTCTCCTCTGGTTCTAGCTCAGACTTTGGTTCTGGGTCAGACTCTGAGGTCCAACATGTAAGGCTGGATGGACAAGTCTTCTATTCTTCACATCTTTTAATTAAATTGTAAATAAAACCTTTCTGCAAGCTAGAAAATGCTAACCCCCTCTTTTATTCCGGAGTGGACCGGTCTGGAAGCCAGAGTGGGGCGGAGCTTAAAGCTCCTTAAAGGCWCAGTATCAAAACGAGCTGCTGTGAGACACACATCAGAAAAGCGGTGGAAGAGGAGCTGGTGAAGTTACAATAAGGATTTCAAACCAAAGCTTTGTAGTTCCACTTTATAAAGACCCCATCTGACTGATTTAAATGWGAAAAGGAAGGATTTAAAAGCATGATATGTCCACTTTATTKATGTTTGTTTTAACTAAACTAACCCCTGTGATTATTTTTCTTCTCTCCAATGTGCTGGCCTTTAGCTTTAAGGAAGAACAGGTAAAACTCAGCGCTTCAGTTTCATCCTCTTAAATAGACATCAAGTATAATTTACACCCTCTTTTTTTTCATTTATTTCATTTAAAGTCATTGTCAAACATAAAGGCGGTCCATACAGTTCTGTATTAAATATTTAATACAATAAAACTTTGTGTCCCCGAGGGGCAATTAAAAGGCACAATGGAGGAAAAAATGAGAAGTTAAGAAGAAGTACAGCTTTTGGAATAACGGTGGCCCCCCTCCTCGGTGTCTTGCAGCATGGACATTGAAGTCGGCACAGCCACTCAAATGCCCAATGAAGTGGATGAGAAGAAGCTTTAATTATTTATGTGCCAAACTGCTTGTTTGCTGGTCACAGAGAAATGATCAATTCCTTCCTTGGAGCCTACAGAAATGTTTTTAATGGGAGGCCATGATGGGGCCACTGGAAATCCAGAGGTGGAACTCCAAAAGCCAGTTCAGAGTACCTGAGAAAAACAGTAACTGCTCAAACTATTGAACCTTTTTATCTCCTAAATTTAGATTTATTATAAAACATCATTTATTTATATATTATATAAAAATATTTTATGTATATAACCTCCTGAGACTCTGTAAGTTGATGCTGAGGCCGTTGTTTCAAACTGGTTGACTCAGGAAGATAACAGCCTTGAGTTTTCTACGGCTGTGTCCAAATTCASGGGCTGTGTCCTCCGAAGGTGCARTTTGTCGCTTATGTCACAGCATCGCGTCGGACGCTGTCCAAATTTGAAGACTCCGATGTGGCCCACAGTTAATTCATTCTTTCCCCCCCCATTTGAGGGACGAGTCCTTTGGATCCTTCTCGGCTCACCATATCCCATAATGCATTGAGGGCCGACATAATGGCGGTAGAAGCGAGAGAAAGGATTACAGTTTTAAATAAAAATCTGGCGGTATAAAAAAAAGTTTTAAGCGGTTGTGTTATTAATGCTTTCTGATATTCTTGTCAGAAATCAAACAATCTTGTATAGAGAAATAAATGTGCACCTACAGCGGGTCCCTTCGTTCTTCAACTATTGCTTTTAAGCTAATTTTGTTGTTTTGTGATATTTATAATACTAATATATTGATATTTTGCTAATTTTGTGAACTTCTGTTTAACATCGTCRAGATGGCTAGGTGACGGGATATATCTCGGGATAAGGGCGGGAATAAAAAAGGCTAGACCGTCCAAATTCACAGCCACTTTTTTCCTGTCTTTGCGGTCTACCAATGACCCGGCCTATCAAGACCAGTTAGGCTGGGTCCTGTATTCAAATATATTATAATTTGATCGATTTGGGGTGTAAAATTAGAAGCAAACAAAATGTAGTTTGCAATTTGACTTAGAGTCTGGATGTGGATCAGTACACAAYATACCTGTGCTACAATTTGTTGAATATTTCTGTTCCAACTGTCAAGTTGCCCAAAAGCTCCCATAATAAATAACATTACTTTCTGACCAATTAAAGATTATAGACTTTTTTGATGACATACATATAAAATTTTTGTATTGACCCTAAATTACACGGATTTCCCCCAATTTTCATGACTATGGACATACAGGCTGTGTCTCAACTCATAGGTTGCAGCTGACGTCGGACGTATTGGTCGGCTGCTTACATCACTGCCCCAATTTATAGGCACCTACTCATGCGGCTGACAAAACCCCAAAAACATCGGCTGCATTTGAGTATCCTACGTGGCTGACGATATCCCAGAATTCATTGCCCCATCAGCAAATTACTTATATATTGATRTTTTGCTAATTTCGATCTATTTTTGCTTCTGTTAAGCATCGTCACGTTTGCTAGGCGACAGGAAATATGCCTGAGTAAGGGCGGGAATAAAGTAGAAGACTAGACTGTCCAAATTCACACCCCCTTTTTACCGGTCCTTGCAGTCTACCAAGGACTCGGCCCATCAAGACCGGTTAGGCCGGGGTCCTTCAAAGGACCCAGCCCCTGAATTTGGACCCAGCCTAAATTTAAGGCTATAGCCCAGGGGTCTCCAACCAGTAGCTCGTGAGCTACCAGTAGCTCCTGGGCTCATTTAAAGTAGCTCTTCAGTGCTTATGAAAAATTAGGAGAAGCAAAATTTAATTTGTCACTGGTCAAACACACTTTCATTTAACTCCAATCAATGTATAGATGTCCCTTCCCCTTGGTTGTCAACAGTTTAGGGCTCAGTATGGTCAACTGGCAGACGATGCACAGTTACGTGGCAGTTCAGCATTTGTTTTCACACACCTTTCATAGATCCTTGAGACAAACTGTGCCAAACTCCTGGGAAACCCCTCCTGCTGCAGTATATGTCACTACAGGGGGCTTCTTCCCACTGGGAAAAAATACAGAAAAAATATCAGAGACCCATTACCCCATGTTATTTGTGCACAAATCTGTTGCAGTTAAACCCTAAGTTAGTAGTGTAAAATACAATATAATATGAATGGACAATCACAAGAAGCACAATTAGGTAAATTCAGTGTTCTGTGTAATAGTTTCATGTGAATTGAAGACAAAGTTTTTTGTGCAAAACAATCTTATTCCAATGGTTTGAGTTTAAAATTAAATGTTGCAAAAAGTAGCTCTCGGACAATTTCATTTTGTGAAAGTAGCTCTTAAGGAGAAAAATTTTGGAGACCCCTGCTCTAGCCTGTGCAGTGGTTTATGTGATATTTTGCTAACAGAATAGAAATTACTCCTAATAGTTTATAGTAAAGTTTTGAGTAAAATCTGTTGGCACTTGGAGTATAAAAAGAAATAAATTGTGTAGGTCTTCTGGACGGGTTCTTCTTTAATGAAACATTTCGTCTCTTCTCCAAGAGACTTCTT